AAGCGGTGTATAGATAATGGATGGATGGGTCATCATCATCATCATCATCACCTTCGTCACCATTTTTACCTTCATCATTATCACCATTCATCATCACTTTCATCATCTTCATCATCATCATATTTAACACCTTATCTTCATCATGTGTGACAGGTGAATGTAGACAGATGAATGACAGGTGACTGATTCAGCATCAGGCTTCATAATAAACTTGAACTGAGTTAGTCAATCAGTGGTCAATCAGTCAATCAATCAATCAATCAATCAATCAATCAATCAATCAATCAAAACCGATGATTTACAGCAACTGTATTTAGGGTGTTGCTGTACTCTGAAGCACTGCAGTACCACAGTGTACAAAAACTGCATTACTACCAACAGTCCTGCATTCCTGCTACAGTAATGTGATCAGGAGCTGGATGGATGGATTATGAAACTGTGGCAAGAAAGTAACTAGTGAGGGAGGCCACCTAGACACCTATGACTCCTCTGACAGAGTTACAAGCTATTATTCACCTCCATGCTTCATGGTGGTGATGGTATGTTTGTGATGATGTGCAGTGTTTGGTGTCACCAAACAAAAAGCTCCATTTTATATTTGGAGGTTAGACCAGGTGTGTTTGGTACATGGAGGTTAAATCATTGTCTGTGAGCGGGTGTTTGATCCATCACAAAGACAAACAGGTCTAAAGTCCAGGTGTTGCCATATGTTCGCTCTCACACTGAGAGTGTTTGCCATCATTTAGCAGCATAATGACAGGTGATAATTCCACCTGTGTGTATTTACATTGTCATAGAACATACAGTTCTGACCATAATTATGTGGACAGTTTCCTCTGTTTTATTCTTAAGGACATTCAGTGTGAAATAAAGTCGGGACATCAAAGCTTTAGCTTTGACCTGAACAGGTTTCCATCAAATAGAAAAAACAGTACAAAACGTACAGACCTGAGGCACACTTTATGAGGTCAGAGGCAACTGGACACTTGTTTAATGATTGTTGGACTGTGTGAGACTTTAGTGTTTTGTTCATGAACAAGAGTTCATATTAAGAAGAAATGAGCAGGTGAAGAACATCAGACTGTCAGAGATATCAGAGGCAGCTGTTCAATTAATCAACAGTTGTTAGTCCTGAAAGGAGACTGTGGACAGAAAATTGCTTTTTGATGACAGGACACTCAGTTTGATCACTCTGTAGAATGTAGAATATATGTTTCCTTCACCAATCCAGAGAAAACTACAGGACCAGATCATTAGAGGATTGAGCAGTAAGTCCAAATTGATCCAAACTGATCAGAAACATCCAGAGAGAAACCAGCAGATTTCTGAACAGAAGCAAACATGACGAAAAGTTAATGAAAACAGCAAACATGAAGCTAATATGGAGTTAGCATGTTGAAACACATTCAGACTCAAACATTTGACCACAGAGAGCGGGAATATCCTCAGCTAATCAAGTCTGATACCGAAGACTGAAGGCAGAGAACCACAACAACAGAACCAGAGTAACAAACTCAACATCAACGCACAACAACAACAACACAACGACAGAACCATAAAAACAGTACCACGACAAACCCTTAACAATAGAACCACAAAAACAGAAACACTACAACAGAACTACAGCAACAAAACTTTTTTTTTTTTTTTTTTAAAAACAGACAACAACAGAACCACAACAACAAACCTACAACAATAGAAACACAACAACAGGAAGATACAGAGAGCCTGCTGATAAAACTGATAAAACTTCAGCGAGATTTTACACTGAATATATTAATAATTCTGTTGATCAACCCTCTGAACCCCAGGAAGTTTTGTCTTGTTTATGTTGTTTTGTGTCTATTTGCGGCCATTTGTCTGCACATATAATAGGCATTGGACTATTTCCATGTTTACAGCCTCTACAACCCTTTTCTCTCTACTCTGCACATCAGCTGCAGGAAGATGTTTCACCATGCTGAATGTATCTTCCAACAACCTGCTCCTCTGTGTATTGTTTTTGAGCCATCCTGCATTTATTTTATTGATCCAGTAGGTTTTATTTTCCTCTCAGTCTCTCGTGTCATCTCCTCTCTGTTCTGTCTAAACACTGCCTGTAGTTCACCTGAAAACTTTCAGAATTTTTCGCTGTTGTTCACAGCTGAGTCAGTCATGGAGAATCAACAGGAACCAGGAGGGAAGAAGTTTATGGTTTTTACAGGAGGAAAAAAGCAGTTGTGGAAGCGAACCTTGTGAGTGCTGATGCTCTCAGGCCAGCAGTGTCTCAGGTTGCATCCTGAGTCCACCCACCCGAACAAAGCATAAGCTGGGTGGTGTTTGTCCCTGAGGATCCTCTGTGCTCTCCTCTGGCAGTGCTGGGTATGTAGAGTGTCCATGGAGGGGAGATCAGAGCCGGTGACCCTCTCTGCAGTGATTTCCTCTCAGTCATACCACACTGTGATACCACTGGAGGGGATGCTTTCAACGAGCTTGGGTGGACGGCAGACATCTGAGTCTGGCCTTCTTCAGTAGCCTGATGAAATGCAGCCTGTGCTGAGCCCTTTTCACTGTTGTTGCAGTGTTTTTAGCCCAGCTAAGGCTCTCTGAGGTATGAAGGCTAAGGAGCTCGTAGCTGTCGGTAGACTCCACCTCAGTCCTCTTGATGGTGAGAGGCTGCAGCGGGAGGGAGCTCTCCTGCTGAAGTTCAGAATGAGTTCTTTGGTTTGTCTATGTTAAGAACCAGATCGTTGTCCTTTCCATAGATGATGATCTTGTGAACATCTGCCTGCATGATGACTCAACCCCCTTTCTCTGATGAGGCCAAAGATGTCGTATCATTTGCATACTTGATGATGATATTATTGTCCTGAGGGGAGGAGCAGTCATGTGTGTACAGAGACAAGAGTGTGGTGTTGAGGCAGCAGCTCACTGTGAGCTCAGCAGAGACCTTCTTTCCCATCCTCGCCACCTGTGGTCTGTCTGTGAGGCAGTCCAGGATCCAGTTACAGATGGATTTTAGTACTCCCAAATCTGCCAGTTTAGCAGTCAGCTTCATTGGTCTGATCATAATTAAGAAAGAGCTGTAATCCAGGATCACTAGTCGTGCGTATGTGTTGAGGGCATCAAAGTGTTGCAGGATGGAGTGAAATGCCACCATGTCGTCCACTGATCTGTTCCAGTGATGGGCAAACTGACATGGTTCCACTATGTCTGGAACCACAAGAGTGTCATAAAACCAGCCTTTCCAGACACTTCATAGTAGCTGGGTTGAGTGCCATGGTTCTAGATTAGATTAGATTAGATTAGATATAACTTTATTGATCCCTTTGGTAGGGTACCTCAGGGAAAGACCGTTCACTGATGTTATGTTATGTTTGTGTCCTTCCTGTAGTTGGTAATTGACTGGATTCCCTGCCATATGCTTCTTCTGTTGTTCTCCTGACAGCAGCTCTCAGTTCTCTGGGTGTATGTCCTGATAGATTTTTGGAGCTCATGTAGGGCATGCCTATACTCCATGATGTCTCCTGACTTGAAGGCTGCGCACCAGTTTCTGGTCTTGGGTATATCTGCATTGAACCAGGGCTTCTGATTGGGAAACAAACATAATCGTCTGGGAGGGGCTGCAGATGGAAGTGCACCAGTCAATGTGTTGTTGCTGTTAACACTGTCTGTGTATTCATGTTAATTGTCTGTGGCTTCCTAAAAATGTTCATATCATTGGCCTCCAAACAGCCCTGCAGTTCTGCCAGCTTATCAGGCCTCACCTTCACAGTCTTTACTGTGATTGGCTCTGCGTTGAGCCTTTTGGGTTAGGTGGACTGCAGCAGATTAGCATGGTGGTCACATTTCACAAAATGCAGCTTGGAGATAGCAGTATAAGCATTTCTAATGTTGCTGTAGCATTTGTCCAAGGTGCTGCTTCCACTGGTATGGAAGTTCACAACTTGATGAAATTTAGGAAAGATTTTCTGGACATCATAGTGGTTAAAGTTTCCTAAGACAACAATGGCAGCATCTGGGTATGCGTTTTCACATTTTAAGCTCATATTTAGATAATTTTCCAGATGGAACCGCACAGATGATTAGCTCAAGGACCATGGGAGATAGATAGATAGATAGATAGATAGATAGATAGATAGATAGATATCATTTCTATACACACAAAAACATCAATAAAAATAGGAAAACATACTGAATTGAAAGAGTTCATTTAAATGAACATTAAAAACCTGTAATTGTGAATAACCATAAAATGTCCTTTTTGTAAGGAGATTAAAATTGTATCTAAAATATATTCACAAATTTAGCACAATTTTATGAATATTTCCTATTTATTTAATGGATGAAACTGTTAAATTCAGATTTAATACCGTAAATATTTAAAATTAGATCAAATAAGTGACAACAGGAAAAAAATATTGGTTTTGTAATTTTACGCACATTTTTTTTGTGAAATCGTTTTCTTTTCAGCAAAAATGTTGAATAAATGTATTTTCATCAGTGCATTAAATCTATAACACGTAATCTGTCAAATGACAGTTATTTATGTATATGTTATAATCAATCGCAATCTTATAATTATAGTTAGATATATAGCTTAAATATTACAAGTAATTTCTTTGACTTTTACACATGAAAACATTTTTCATCAAACATTAAAAGCAAATAAAAGCCAATTTTCTCATGTAAAATTTAAGAAAAAAAATTTTAATTATAAGAGATGGTTGTTTTATTTGCAGTATTTTTTGGCACTAAGCTGCTGGAATATTACTTTTTTTTTCTTCTTTTTTTTAAAAATGCTTTAAATCTGATCGGTTTACAGATTAAAAACCACCACCTCCTATTGGTTAATCTCAGCAAATTTTGTGCCAGCGTTTCTCTTTGTCAGTATGCTGGTGTTCAGGTGGACTCACCTTGATGTGTTTCTCCTGCAGGTCATGTGACTTATGGTGGAGGATGGCCTGTCAGCACTGAGCAAGTTTCCAGCAGGCAGCAGGTCTGAGACGAGGAAGAGGATCATGGGAGATGGAGGCCCGCTGCAGACTGAGGGGAACGCCCTCCTCAAAGCTGTCTTCCAGGGGAAGCTGCGTCTGACCCGGCTGCTGCTGGAGGGCGGCGCCTACATCAACGAGGGCAATGAACGTGGCGAGACACCAATATCCGCCGCCTGCTTGGCGAGCTACGACGATCCGCAGACCAGGCAGAGGATGGTGCGGTACCTGCTGGAGAAAGGGGCTGACCCAAACATCCCCGACAAGAGCGGCCGCACAGCACTCATGCATGCCTGCGCCGAGCAGGCAGGGAAGGAGGTGGTGTCACTGCTGCTGGAGAACGGAGCAGATCCAAGCCTCAAGGATTACTCTGGCTCCTCCGCCCTTGTCCACGCAATCAACAAGGGAGACCGCGACACACTGCAAGTGCTGCTGGACGCCTGCAAGGCCAAGGGCAAGGAGGTGATCATCATCACAACTGACACGTCTCCATCCGGTACCAAGAAGACCAAACAGTACCTCAACTCGCCGCCCTCGCCCGGCATCGTGGACAAACTGTCTCCAGCCTGTATGTCGCCTTCCGACGTGGAGATTGGCACATCGTCACCTGCAGGGGACAAGAGCAAAGACGAAGAGGGCATCTTCAGCTTCGCTCTCACCTCAGCGTTACCTTTACCTTCAGCTCGACCTCCAGGTGAGAAGAGACCACCACCTCGCAAGCTGCTGAAGAGGCTGAACTCAGAACCCTGGGGCCTGGTGGCGCCCTCGGTGCTGAGTGCTGTTCCTCTGGACCGTGTGGATGGTGGTCTAGCGGAAGAAGGCGACCTAAGCAGGACAATCACTGAGATGAACGGCTTGTCCATCGCGGAGCCAGTCAGACCTCTGTTGTCACGGCGACACAGCATCGAGACCCACGACCCCTGTTCCCCCAAACTCATCGACCGGTCCTGCTCGGAGGACTGTGCGGCCCTGTCCGGTCCATCCTGGGCCGACAAAGTCCAGCAGCACCAGATCCTGTACCGCAGGAACACAGCTCCAGAGTCACAGGAGAATGCTGGAGGACCCGGAGCTGTCGGGGCCCGGGCCCTGGCTCATCCCAAACTGACCCGGATGGAGCACTATGAGTCGGACACCCACCTCTGCCCGGAGTCCATCCCAGGATCCCCGGACTCCGGTCGGGTATCTGTGGAGCGCAGAAGGTACAACGCCTCCCCCCTGTCCCTGGTCACCAGTTCGTCTCGGGAGTCTCTGGAGAACATCCCCAACTCGGTGTCCCCCATGACGATGCGCCGGCGGCCACCAGGTCTCCTGGAGCGCCGGGGCTCCGGGACCCTGCTGCTGGACCACATCTCCCACACCAGGCCTGGCTTCCTGCCGCCGCTCAACATCAACCCACAAAGACCCATCCCTGACATCCGGGCAAATGGCAAGCCCACCTCCCCAGTCCATTCTGGACACAAGATCCTGGTACCGGTGGCCCCCGCCTCACCCAAACGGGGCCCCGACTTCAAGCTGAAGAAGAAGCTGATGAGAAGACACTCGATGCAGACGGAGCAGATGAAGCAGCTCTCCACCTTCCAGGAGATCTTGGCCGAGAAGGTCATCGAGTCAAATGGCGATTGATGACAGGAGGCGAAGCGTTATTGGTAGCTGCAGAGACGTTAGTGTGGCGATTTACTGTGAAGCTTCTCCGTCTGAACTCACATTAAGACCATGTTGTGGGCTCTGAGGAGGGCTGCACTGACAGGATTTATTACACAGAAAAGGGGTTCAGATCAGCTCAATTTCGAGGTTTAAAACCAGATTTATTCAGTCCATCAGAAACAGGTTTGAAATCTCTAAGGTTAAAACCAGCTGAGTTCATTGTAAACCAACATAAAGGTCAACAGTACCCAAAAAACAGAAAAGAAAAAACTTTAAAATCACAGCGACTCATCCTGTTGACGTATCTTGACGTTAAAGTTGAACCCATACATTTAAAAAACAACATTTAAAAATAACATTGGTTGAACAAGCAGGTCGGAAAGCATGGGTGAACCATTAAACACCTGAACTGAATGCACTTAAACTCTGGTGAATGAGGGCCATGAAATATGGCTGAAAACTCTGCAGGGAAAGTTAAAACCTTGAGCTTACATTATTTAGTTTCTGACAGTGAGCAACACTTGCTGGTCAAAAAATGAAATAAAAAATCAAGGAATGAACACATTAACTGACAGTTTAATTTAAATGAAGGTTTGAATTTTGTTTATAAAAATATTTGCTGAAACTTTTATTTATTTAATTTGATATTTAACAGAATTAATTAGGTTTGACTGAACAGACTAATTCTAAACACTACACTGGCAATGATCCTCTGTTCCTGTTGCCATGGAAAAGCAACAGAACCCAGGTGACACTTTAAACTGATTTCAGCTGCAGGTTGTTTTCAGGTTTCTGACATGAGGTCACATGACACAATCTAAATGACTCTGCAGCCCTGCGTTAGCGTCACTGCAGACAGCTGTCAATCTAATAACTTACTTTCATCTGTTACTGCTTATAATAAAAAGCACCTGTTAAAAGCAGTTAGTGGGAACCTGTTTTGCCACCTGAACTTTGGCTGCTCACGTGGACAATACGGGCTTCATGTTACTCCATTCAGTCACTAAATAGACAGGCTGATATATTTAACACTGTTTGTAGAGGTTACTGCAGGAGTCAACTTAAAATGAGTTCCAAAGTATTTCTGAGAGTTTCTGGTGTGAATCAGAGAAAGTTGAAGCAGGTTGAAGTTGGTCAGTGCAGCTCTCCTCATGTTCACTGCTGAAATGTTTCCTGAAGCTTCCTCTGAACTCATTCATTCATGATGAAAACATAAGAAAAGTTATCGGACGTGTTTGATGTTTACAGATGCACAATTTGCACCGAGCTTGTTTCCATTTCGTCTCCTGACAGATGAAGTCTTCTGCTGCAGTTTCACTGACGGACCTGAACTCATATTTATTTAAATCAGTTATAAGCTCCTGTTCTGGTTGAAGATGTGTGAAACTACCTACTGCGCTGTATGTACTGTAATTATCTACTAGTCAATATAATAGTTGGTATTTCTGTGGCAGACTCGTCTTTATTTTACAGTTCAGTCCTGGTTTCTGTACTTTCAGAATTCTGAGGTGACATCTGATCTAATTTGTGTTTAAAGTTAAATCAAACGTTGGTTTATTGTTTCTAAAATTCCAAAGAAGTCGTGTGGACGATCTGAACCAAAACCTGCTGAGACTGTAAATACTGTAACCACCTCACCTGGTTGGACACCAGGGGGCGCTGCAGGACAAAGGAGCAGCACTGACAGAAAGCTGTCACATCAGTCCTCTGGTTCTGATGATGCAATAGCTCACAGTGATCAATAACATGATTATCAATAAAGCAGTGATCAATCAAACAGCTGCAGACCTTCATCACTGAAGGAGTTTTCACATAATGTCTGAAACAAACTGTTTAACATCAGATCTTCACATCGTCACTTTAACTTTTATGTGTTTCTCACAGAAATCTGCATTCACTCTGTGAATATCCGCAGCTGAACTCTGACTGGTTGTAGCTCCAGTTTGTCTACAGTTTAATTTGGTCTCCTCATAATTCTAGTTCCAGATTTCACTTCTTCTGTTTTCAACAAGTTCAACAATCTACTTTTTAGTTCCTAAATTAAGTATGAACTGATCAGAATGATGCTGTTGGAATTCTGCCTCCTCAGAATGTCATCACAGATTTGTATAATCAGAGCCCTGATTTGGTGAAATAATGCTGCAGATTTTTGTTGTTAGTGTTGGTGAGAGGGAGGGGCTTGTTTTTCAAACATACTATGATACAGTAACAACATCTGGCAGCTGTTTAACCTCCATGTCAGAGCAGCTGAGGACCAAGTTCTAGAAATTTAATCATCAGTCTCTGAAGAACGAAGCTCTGGTTCTCCACCAACTCCTCCTGATGAGCTCTCTCTAACATCTGATCACCACAGCAGCAAACACCACTGCTGCTGACACGGTCTGAATGCTCTACTGGACCAACAGCTAATGAGAAACCTCCCATGAGCAGTGACATCATAAGACCAAGTCCAGACCAATGAGGTTTGAGATCTCTGCAGCTGTTATTCTGACTGCATCACAGAGATCTGACTGGTTTGATTGGTCAGAATGATGTTACAAAAATCTGGAATAAAGTCACAGTGAAGTTGTTAATATCTAATGTTGATACCAAACACTCAAACTATTGATTGTTAAAACTATTTGACATCTGGAATCTCATCACACTGCTCAAACTAAAACTACACATTTGACATGATCTTTATAAAAACTTTTTCTACAGCTGTCAACTGGAGCTCAGTGAATCTGTTTTAATGACAGTTCTCTCATCACTATTCTGAGTGAACCCTGTCAATGCAGCCTGTCTTCAGCTCCGCCCACAATGACTGTCCATCCATCCATCCATCATCTATACACCGCGTAATCCTCACTAGAGTCGCAGGGGGCTGGAGTCCATCCCAGCTGACTCAGGGTGAAGGCAGGGGACACCCTGGACAGGTCACCAGTCTATCACAGGGCTACACTTAGAGACAGACAAACAAGCACACTCACACTCACACATACGGATAATCACAATCACACAGAACATGCAAACTCCACGCAGAAAGATCCCAGGTGTCCTAAATGGAACAAAGCGACCAAAGTGATGGCGCTAACCACCAAGCCACTGTGCAGCCCCACAATGACTGTGATTGGTTTAAAGCCACCACAGAGTTTTCCCAGAGCAGAATGCTGAGGTGCAGTCACATCACTCAAACTAACTGCAACTGCAGCTCACAAACTAAAACCTTAAAGCTGCTCAGTATTTGTAGTGTTGGGCTGTGAAACACTAGAACATTGTACAACCCTCTGAGAGCAACCTGGATGCAGATAAGATGGCGGATATCCGCAGGGCGCACCGTATGTGATCTGCAGATTCCTTCAGTGGCGGCAGTCTCAGCAGATCATTGCAGATGTTCCTCTCCCTGCAACGGTGATCCTGAGCCGTTCCCAGGCCAGATGAGATATGTAATCCTTGTAGAGTTCTGGTCTCCTAATGAAAACTGCCAAAGGAAGGAGGATCCTAACCAGATGTTGGACTGCCTCAGCTAAATTCTCCTCACTTGATTGAGGAGTTCAGGCACCAACTGGGAGCTTTGTCTTCTTTGTGTTGTTTTTTTTAAACATTTTTTAACATCTGCATTGAACATGTGTTTTTTTCCATCTGTAGCAGACAGAACTTACAAAAGAAGAACCTTTTAGAAAGAGTTTTGTAGCAGGTATGAACATGTTGCCTACAGCACATGGAGTTTCAAGAAGCAGACAAGAACCAGCAGGAAGGATCAACTGTGAACTGTGGTGGACGGACTCAGCAGCTAAACATGTTACAGTCACATGAAAATCTGTCAGTTTAGTTTAGAATAAGTTCACCTGCCTTCATATGGAACTTTCTAACAAGAACTGAAGCCTTTTTCTTTAAAAACACCAGACTGCACTGAAAAAACACTGGAGTCTCTGGTTTACTGCTGCCTTCATTAACTAGTCTTCTATGTTTTAACACAAATGCTTAGCTATGAACTAATGTGCTGAAGTCACACAGCTACAGAATATAATAAAACACATAGCAGCTTTAGCTTTCGTATGTGTGACTGCAAAGAGAAAACCAACATTACAAAGACTACACTGACACAGGTTGAACTGGTTTTTCTACAGACCCTCTTGTCTGCTCCTTTAAACTGTTCACACCGAACCTCCATTTCCTGCAGATAAACACCAACTGGATCAGAACCTTAGACAACACATCCTTATTGTCCCTTTAACAACACAAACCAGCTCAGTGTTTAAACTCATGTCAGTTTTATTGAGTGCTGCAAGACTAAAGTCTGTCCCTTTAGATTTAGGACAACTATTAAACTTTAAAAAGGAATTGTAAGCAGCAACCACAAAAAACCTCCTCTCTCAGGTTTTTTACAGTGGTAACGTGATAAGAAAACCTCGTTAGAAAACATAAAGTTAAACTCACACATCTGAAGTTGGTTTTAACTACCAAATATGTTTGTCAGCTGATCAGCTGATCAATCAATCACTCAGTGTAATACCGAAACTCCCAGCAACCGTCTGTCACAGTCTCTCATCATTATGACATCAGCAAGTGGGTGTGGCTTCTCTGCAAAGCAAGCTAATTGGTTGTTGTCATCCAATGAAGATTGTCCGAGTGATTTTAGGATCCTTTGGTGCTTTTGATCATCGCTTCCATCATCTTCCACTGATCCGGAGTCACCTGGAACAGACAGGTGAGTAAACAGATGAACCAACAGGTGAGTAAACAGGTGAGTAAACAGGTGAGTAAACAGGTAAGTAAACAGGTTAATCAGGTGTAAAACAAAGTGGATCAACAAACAGAGACACGTTTCCGTCACCTGTCAAAATCACCAGAATCAGCTCTGTAAGTAAACCCTGATCAGAACACTGTGTTATTAATGTTTCTGACGGAAACAGTTCAGTGTGACACTCACCCTGCGCAGCTCATTGAACTCTCCTGCCATCGACACGTATTCTCCTCCATCAAATCGAATCACCTGAACACAAACATCGGTAAACATTTACTCTGAGCCAGAACCAGAACCAGTTCAATACCTGTTATCAGGACTGGTTCTGTCTCAACTCTGATCCAGAGAGGTATACTACGAAGCAAGTTTGACATAGCCAGGCTTTCTTTGTGGAAGCCGAATCGACAAAACTGAAAGCCCCAGCCAGAGATCACCAGTATCACGAAGGTGGTTATCAACTTTCTTTGTCAACTCAGACTTTCTGCTTCAGACTCTGTGCGCGTTCACATAAAAAGGAGGCGTTTAGCGCGTCATGTGAATCTTCTTCTGCACAATATGAACCAATCGTGTGCAGCTGCTTCAGTCAACACGTTTTAATGAAGAACAATGAAGAATTTTTAATTTTTTTAAATGTGACGGTAAAAAGCACCAATGGTGCAAGACAGGAATGCTGGTAGAAACCTGTTCAACGTGTTAATGTATAATAGTTTACTGATGCAGCCCTGTATTTCCAACTGACAGCTGCACGTTAAATTTAAACTTGAAACTTCATATATTTAAACATGATCTTGTGTTGAAGTGCATTTAGGTCTGACACTGTGCCATAATGCAGGAAATCACTTTAATTTTTGGCCCAATCAGAGCGAAACTGATGTTATTGATTGAATATTCTCTGTAATAAATACCAGCAGAATAATCCATGTTCTTATGTGTTCTATCAGCTGTAGTACCAGCAGAGTAAACGGACTCGACAGCAAATCAGAGCCAAACATAAAAACATATTTATGTGATTTCTGCATCGCCAACTTAAGATGTCGAGTTCCCATGGCAATGTGATATTTACAGTTGGGCTGGACCCGAACATCCAAATATCTGAATATTCAGTCGTTGTGGTGGTATATGATATATAATCGCCCGCAACCTGCCCCAGCCTGCACACCCCCCGCTGATGGTGGCAACAGAATTGTGACCGCTAACTTAAACTGGCATCAGCAGCCAAGTACTGCCTGTTCGTCTCCATCTCCACCGACTGCATGATACTGTAACTACACGGCTTCATTAAGTGATATTAGTAACGCACAACTCAGCATATTAGCAGATAAAACACGTTCCCTCAGCTGTGAATCTGTCAGGAAACAATCTGGTTAAAGGGAGACGCTCTTTCCAGCCGATTTAAATCCAAAACTGAACATAATCTGCTCTCGACCAGGTTAGCTCCACAGCATCAGTTATCATGGAGATCTAGCCAGGTAAAAAGAGAGCCACCTTTGTGATACTGAAAACTCTGGCTTTAAGCTCAACATACCTTGATAACCCACTAATCTCGCTTCGTAGTACAGCCCTCAGGACCAGATAACTTACAGCTCCGGACATCCAGGTGGCATAGTCGCTGCTCATGTACGCTGCCAGGTTTGCGATTTCTGCTGGTTTTCCGAGTCGACCCACTGGGATGCGACCTATCATGGCCTTCTCAAAGCTTCCGGTCGGATCCAGACGGCTGAACGCTCCCTAAACACCAAAAAACAAACAAACAAACAGGTTAACAACAACACAGAACAGATAGACACCAGCAGCTGTGGTGAGGTGGGTGGTACCTTTGTTCTGATTGGCCCAGGTTGGATGATGTTGAACCTGTGGCCGTAGCGCCCCCACTCTGCAGCCAGAGACCTGACACAAAACAGCAACAACGATGTTACTATGGCAGCCACACATCCATGGTGACTGGCATAACAGTGATGTAACAGATTAAAGGTTAGACTTACTTGTACAGTGCCTCAACTCCGGCTTTCGCTGATGCACTGGGAACCACAAATCCAGAACCGGACTCGGCGTAGATGGTGGTGATGGCGAGGAAGGAAGCTCCTAAACGCACAAACAAACAACAAGTAAAAACACCTGAAGGCTAGAGAACCCTGGACCTGTTACAACTGCTTTAATGAGTCTAAACTCTAGACCATTGTGATTCTAGATCAGTTGGACCTGTCTGGTTCTGGATCACTGACCTTTCTGGCTCTGGATCAATCTCTTTCCCAGCTCCAGAGTGATAAACGCGGTTCCATTCAGAACAATCTCTGTGATGCTCTTCCAGCCGTTTGGCGTCAGACGTTCGGATGGACAGACGAAGTTTCCTGCTGCATTGTTGATGATCACCTGCACCAATCGGGACACAGAGACTGTGATGTCATCATATCAACGGTAACAGAAACTACATGACTAGCCCGGTTCCAACCCAACACTCTCCTTCTAAATACTGTGGAAGGCCTTTGAATTAATGGATCAGCTTTAATGTTAGAGTCAGGTTCCGGTTCAGATTGAAGTCAGTTTTAGGTTCAAGTTCGGGTTCTTGGTCAGGTTCTGGTTTTGTGGTGTGTACTTACATCAGGTAAACCGGTCAGGGCCTCTATCTGGTCGACACAGCGAGAGACGGCCTGAGGGTCTCTGACGTCACACTGGACCGCGTGGACCTGAGGACAGACAGAAAAGGACCAGGTGAGACCAGGTTGATCCAGTTTAGGGTGGTTCTGGTTCTGGTTCTGACCTTGTTTCCAGTCTCACTGCTGATCTCTTCAGCTGTCTGCTGCAGGACCTCCAACTTCCTGAAGAAAAAAACGCACAAAAACACTGAGTCAGAATTAAGAGACACAAACTATTGTGTTTGCGTCCAACAGTCGGCAATGTTATCTATCAATAACATCAATTAATAATCTATAAATGATGCTTAACATTAGGGGCATCTCTGCTGACAGACACTCAGCTCTCAGACTGAGTTAGCCTAGCTTAGCATTGTTAGCATAAGCCTCACTGAGATAGCACTGACATGTCTGCTGCCTTATTGGTCAATATATTACCAATCAATTACATAATAACAACAAATAATCAATCTATTAACACTGAGTATCCTGAGTCAGGATTTTAAAACTGCGTGGTCATGTGACTGCTGGTTGACAGTTTGGTCGTGTGACCTCTGACCTGCTGGCGATGACACACTGCGCTCCGAGCGCCGACAGTGTGGTGGTCATGGCTCGGCCCAGTCCTGTCCCCCCACCGGTGATGAAGGCCACTTTTTTGTCGAAGCTTCCTGCTGGCAGCATGACGCCTTCGTGCGGTGCAAAGAACTTCGACTGAGGAGGAGGACCGGATCGAAGAACTGCAGACCTGTGGAACCATGACTGGACAGAACACAGATGTCCAGGATGCAAAGAAAAAAACAGTTTCTTAAAAATCACCTTGAATCATTGAAATATTCTCCAGGTAACAATTACAGCTGCTCACATAAACTGCATTTTAATACAGCTGAACTCACAATAAAGCTGTTTTCATTTACAGACACTTCTGCTTTTTGTCAGACAGCAGAACAAAGATGAATCGGTGACTGAAACTTATTCAGACGACATGTTAACCAGCAGTCACTTCATTTCTAAATTCCTGCTCTGCACCTAAAATACTGATTTCATAACATCACCTGACAACAAACGCATGAGTTAAAGACAATGGCTGAATTCATCAGAATTTACAGAAAATTCTGCGTATTTACAGAGATTTCAAAGCTACAATCAAAGTCACAGAACAACCAGACAATTAAGATAAAATTAGTTTCTTTAGCTGTAAAATATCCATCCAAAAGTGTCCATTTGTTTTATATACAGACTGAAGTTTATTACTTTGTTCATAGAAAGTTAGATTTCTTACTTCAATAATAATATTTCTCCTTTTATGTATTTGTAGCATTTTTCCAGTTTATCCCTTCAGTTTTAACATACATATATAGATATATATTCCCAATATAAAGTTTTAAATATATACACCTTTGTGCTGCATTACACAATCACATCCAACTTGTCAGGACAAAATAAAGTTAACTGAAATGCTCATTTTGTCCTTTTCGAGGAAAATGAATGGTTTGGATAAATTGACTGCTCTGTAAAATAGATTTATGGTTTAACTGGAATCACAAAGCAGCTCATGAACACACACAGGAGCTGCTTCACTTCTGTCATCTACATGTTCATATTTGAAATTTTTCATTTTCAGTCCTGAAACGTATCATTAGATATTTTATTCTAGAGACTTTCAGCAGCTTCACAGTGCTGGAATCTTTACAGCCTGTGAACACTGTTGAGAGAGTTTATAAAGTGTGAAATCATCCTGCAGGGCTCAGATCAGGGAAAAATCGGTCATTAATTAGAAAACAAAGATAAGTTTGTTCTTAACTCTCAGACCTTTGTTTATGTTGTAACAACTCAACAAACTGGCGTCCACTTACTTTTGACACTAAACTCTGTTAGAGGATGTTACCTGCTCAGACTTCAACCTTTGTTTCATTTCACAGTAAACTACAGCTAATGATTATCTAGTTGACTAATCTATTAATTATTTTCTAGATACATCAATCAGCTGGTCTCTAAAACATATGCATCTAAACCATATTCACATATGGTGAAATATGTGGATCAGTGTTAACTCAGATGTCTTGTTTTGTCCAAATATATTTAGTTTACTGTCAAGAAAGAAACCAGAAAATATTCACAATGAAGAAGCTGCAATCACAGAATTTAGACTTTATTTTTTAAAATAATCAAACTGGTTACACTGATCAATATTCAGGTTAAAACTAAACCTCTCGATCACCTGATCGATCAATCAACTGATCAATCACCCCAAACGCTCATTTCTAACTAAAACATCACGAAATATCCTCGGTTTGATTTACTTAACAAGTTAAACTTCGATCCTGATGATCAATAAATAGCTGCTCTTTATGCGCGTGCGCGTGAAGCGGAGGCGCGGAAACTAGGTGAAAGGTGAAGCTCATTTAAACTTGATTTTCTTCCTTTGAAATTTTGCTAATGCATACATTTAAAAATAACATTTTGCACAACATTAATTAAAGTAGTTTTTCCTCACGCGCAGAGATGACGTCCTTTCTGCCGCTAAAAATTGCGATTTTCTCCAAAACGTCGCTGTCGCCATCTTGCTGAGGAGCTGTGTTGTCAGTCCGCGTCGGACCAACACAGAACAGAAACGGGGGGTTTGTTAAATTTGTTGGTCAAGACACCAGCAATCAACACCTGCGACAGAACAGCTGCAGGCTGTGGTGGAGGTGCTCGTGGGAAATGTAGTTTACAGCTGCAGGTTCTATGAACACCAGAACAGAATCAGAACATCATGAAAAACAGACTAAAGAAAGACATTTTAATCACTGCTAAACATTGTGCATGTCAATAAAGTCATCTTTAAGTTTTAAATCCCTAACCGATTTTTAAAATAACACCCCCCTCCCTCCAGCCTGCAATGGTACAGTTCAGATGTGACGATGATCACGTGTTACCGTAATGTGTCTAAAACAGTGTTGGTGTAAAAAAGTTTCGGTTTGTTTCCGGTTGGTTCATCGGTGTCACTCCACAAACAAACGTTATGCATCACAGAACCGATAATCAATCAATTTATGATCGCTTCGTGACGTGCTAAACGTCCTGCAACGGTCTCTGACAGTCTTTAATTGTGAAGAGCTTCGTGTGAGTTTGGATAGTTACGGTATTTGTCGGTGTGATTGGAGTGGTCCGACAGGGCCGAAGCGTGGGATCATTCAGCGACTGATCAATCAGTAGTAGCTCCTGATCGTCGGTCACAGATGGAGGCAACTGAGGTTCCTGAGCTGATTCTGGTGTTCAGCGGGAAGAGAAAGTCTGGGAAGGATTATGTGACTGACTGGATTCAGCGGCGGTAAACTGAAGTTTACATCACCATTTAATGTCACACCAGTTGAACCTGCTGTTACAACAACACCGGAGACAACAGTTGACCTGTTCATTTTTCTTCTGTTGCAGTTTGGGCTCTGAGGTGTGCTGCATCCTGCGACTGTCTGGACCACTGAAGCAGCAGTATGCTCAGGTGAGCCACCAACCTGATAGCGTCGGTACACCATCACACTCCACCTGATATAACAGTTACAGTGTTACCATGATTACACGTCACACCGCTCCTGTTACCATAGTAACACCATCAAGCCATACCTGTTACTATGGTTACAGTGTCATACCGCACCTAATACCATGGTTAAACTGTCAAACTACACCTGGTGCTGTGGTTGCACCATCACACTGTACGTGCTCACCTGTTGCCATGGTTACCCTCACCTGTATTTTGCTGGCTATGCAGGAACACAGTCTGGAGCTCGATCAGCTGTTGGGTTCTGGTCCTTACAAGGAGCGTTACCGTGCTGACATGATCCACTGGGGTGAAACTCGGCGCCGCCAGGACCCTGGATTCTTCTGTCGTCTGGCAACTAGAGGGGCCAGGCAACCTGTGTGGGTACGTTGGTGATGATGTCATTGCAGCTTCTTTTTGTTGTTCATGTTTTTTCTTCTCTGGACACTGAAGTGTTACCTAGAAACCACTCCATAAGCAGAGGGATAGTTTTAGAAGTGACCTGATTGGTTAGCTCCTTTCCACTTGGCTTGTTCAGGTGGTGAGTGACGCTCGTCGGCTGTCCGATATTCAGTGGTTCGTGTCCAAGTTTCCTCAACAGACTCGAAGTGTCCGAGTCCAATGTTCAGAAGAAACCAGGACACAGAGGGGTTGGAGCTTCACCGCAGGTAAGACCACGTCTCTGCCAACCTGTCTTTGTTTTTCTGACTCTACCTGTCTGTTTTCATTTGTATTTTGGGGCAACCTGTCCACCTGTGTATCTCTCAGGTGTGGATGATGCTGAGTCAGAGTGCGGGTTGGACAGCGGTGTTCAGTTTGATTGGATCATCACTAATGAGGCTGACGCCCCCTCATTAGACGAACAGCTGCAGCCAATCCTGAAGCTTGCGGAGGAAGCAGCATCATCATCATCATCCATCAATCGCAGATGATCATCACTGATTAATACATTATTAATACCTGCAGAATGTTGGTGCTCAGGATCAGCTGATCAATTTTTAAAAATCCCTTTCAGTCCTCAGAGGCTCTGATCAATAAATTAATATTGATCAATCAGGTTGGTGACATCACTCAGACTCACCTGAGCAGGTGAAATATCAGAAACCAATGAGTTAAATCAAGTCTTTATTGACACAAACATATCAGTTGATCCTGACTCGTTAAACAGGTAAAGGCTGTTGGACCTGCACGTGACTGCAGCTGAGCATGTGCAGAACAAAGTAATCTGATTACTAAGGAGGTGTACATGAGTGCAGGTGAACTCTGATGTAACATCACAGGTTGATCAGTAGGTGGCGATGCTCACCTGGTGATGGATGAAACATGTTTCATAAAGTTTTCTGGTTTATACCAGGAGGTAAACTTCTGGTCGGTTCCTCCATGCTCATGTGTTCAGGCTTTTATTTGGAACCTTGTGTTTAACACCAAAATGCTGTGAACTCTCGGTAGTTCCTTCAGAAAGTGTCTTTACAGAAACATGTGTGACCTGAGCCAGAACCTGAACCTTTAAACTGATTGTTTGCTGCCTTTGTGCCTTTCAGCAGCTGATTATGTTTAACAGCAGTAAGTCTGTTTCACTGTTCAATGCAAACTTCTTGTCCCTGAATGTTAATTAAAATTATTTATAAAAATAAACTTTACCAAGAGAAAACTGAGCTATTTGAGTCTTTGATTATTCTGGAGTTTTCTCCCAAACTGACTTCTACTTGGAAACTTTCTGGTACTTTTACTTTGACTAATTTCAGAGAAAAAATTTCAACTTTTCACAGCACAACATTAATCTGGCATCTGCAGTTTGAAACCTAAACTGTAAAATAAATTAGTGTTAATTCCACCTCAATCAGATCAGCCCAGCTGATCATTCACAGATCAATAAAACCTCAGAGTCTGTGTTTGGGTCTACATACCAGTGCCGGTGCTTTTATTTATAAAATCCTGTCATGGTTTATTACAATGAGCTGTGACATCAGCACAGCAATGACATCATCAGGTAATAACTTTATGTCATCAGGTCAAAGGTCACCTGCGGGATAATGGGGGGAGGGGGGCGTGTCTCCAACACTCATTGGCCCCTGGTTTATGTTTGGCAGTGGAATGCCTCACTGTGATTGGCTGATCATTCCCTTAAGCCACGCCCCCAGGAACTAAAATAACAAATCATTTGGCTAACAGGATATATTGGCTCTAATCAATCAATCAATCAATCAATTATTGGCAAAGTAAACTAATTAGCGCAACAAGAAACCGTTAAGACAAACACTTAATTAGTTAATTAGTTCTTAACGAGGCAGGGGGGCTGTTAAGTCTGTTAAACTCCCTTTAGACAAAAACACACCAGCTGCTCCTCATCCATGGGGGTGCGCAAAGGGGGAGGCAGAGGGGAAGGGGGAGTGAGGAGCCGGACAAGGGGAAAATAAAGAAGCAAAACTCCAAACGTGACTCAAAAGTTCAGAGAAGGAATGTGTGAATTAGGAATCATTCGGGGGGAATGTTTGACCTCCTCACCTACACCTGGGGGGAGGAAGGTGAGGAGGAGGTTTTGGCCACAGGTGAGGTTCATCGATGGGTGGGAGGGCGTTCAGCAGGAGTTCAGCTCCTCCATCGTCTGGTTCAGTGTCGTCTGAAGCTCCATGTTGGCATTTCTGGCTGAAGTCAGGGAATCTGAAACAAACAATCAGTCACTCACCCACTGATAATCAATCATTCTATTATTTATGTGTCCCATCTTCAATCAATTAGCCCAGCCTTTTAATCAAGTCATCCTGCTCTGTAACTCAATGATGTGGTGATTTATTCACTCAGAGCTGCAGGTTGTTGATCAGTTATTAATCACTGATCAGTATTAATCTGTATTGATCTCTGACCTTCCAGATCGTCAATGGTTTTCTCCAGTTTTGCCACAGTACGTTCAGCGAACTCAGCTCTGTTCTCAGCCTGAAACACAGATGGAGAAGTGAGAAGGTCACAGGTAAGATGGTCACAGGTGAGGTTTGTTTTGGAATCACGTCATCATTGACTCACCTCCTTCAGTTTGCTGCTCAGGCTCCTGATCTCCTCCTCGTACCTGTCCTCCTTCTGACAGTACTGAGACAGAGACACACAGGCAAGGACAGTCAGCTGATCTCAGTTAACCTGGTGTTAATTCAGGGCCTGATTATTTTACATTTTAACCTGAAAAACTGAAACACCAATTACAGAAAATCACCAATCATCTGACGTCAGTTCTATCAATATTTAATCAAAATCACTTTATTTCTTCACGTGTCATTTTAAAGTTCTACAAGAATAAATCTTTATCTCTAATCAGATCCTGTAAAACCCATAAACTTCTTCTGTCCTGGTTCCAGCTGATTCTCCATGACTGGCTAAGCTGTGACCAACACTGAAAAATTCTGAGTTTTCAGGTGAACTGCAGGCAGTGTTTCAGCAGGGCAGAGAAGAGACGACAAGAGACTGTGAGGAAAATCAAACCTACTGGGTCAATAAAATAAATGCGGCATGGCTCAAAAACGGTATACAGAGGAGCAAGTTGTTGGAAGATGCATTCATCTTGGTAAAACATCTTCCTACAGCTGATGTACAGAGTAAAGAGAAAACATTTGTAGAGGCTGTAAACATGCAAATAGTAAAATATCTATAGTATGTGGAAACAACTTCTTTTTTCAGTGTTGGTAACACCTGCAGACATTTGGAAACATGTTAGACATGTTAATTACAAACACTGACATTTTTGTAAAATGAAGAAAAATGAATTCACAGTTAAGAGAAACCTGCCTGAGTTCAGACGGTTTGTTAACTGATGTGGCTTCGCTCTAAATCTGAATGAATTCTGTTGTGATCCAGATGAACCAAACAAACGAATCAAACTCTGACCAGCAGATATGTACAGAGTTAGTTGAATCTTTAAAATTAAACAAGATATATTGAATAAGTGTTTTACCTGCCAACAGCCGCAGTGTTGGCTTGTATAAATCTACCTGCAGACATGAGACACCTGCACCAGGAATTTCTCCTCCTACCTTCTCAGTTTGGGCCTCCAGAGACTTTGAACTAGTGAAGACAGTTTTCAGCTCCTCCTCCAGCCCCCGACTCTTACTGCAGGTCACATGACAGAGGACACGCTGTCAGACAGGTGCCATCTGTGGTCAGGTGTGTTTTCAGGTGTTATTTGTTGCCTGCAGCAGGTAAAGTCATGCACAGAGCAGCAGCAGCAGCAGTAGTAGTAGCGGGAGGAGGAGCTGAAGCAGCAGGTAAAGGTCAGAGGTCAGGAGGAGGAGCTCCACGGCTATGACTGACAGCAGGTGGGAGGTCAGGTGACCCTCGGGTCAGGTGTACCTTGTCCTCAGACGCCTGCAGGCTCTTCAGTGAGTGGTCGAAGCTCCTCAGCTGCTCCTCCAGCCTCCGAACCTTACTGTTAGATAGGTGAGACAGGTGGCAGCACATGCAGCAGGTTTCCATGGAAACACAAGTAAATCAGAACGCCGTTAGTAAAGCAGTGACGTCATACTAAAGTCATCTGACACATATCCATACACAGTCAGAGCGTCCTGGTCACCTGAGCATCTGCAGTAGCATCAGAGTAGCAGCTGGCACACATGCAGATGTGTCACTTTATTAGGTACACCTGTTCACTGTTTGATAGTTTCTGACTTTTATGTTCACAAGGGCTCCTAATATTGGGACCAGCTCAGGTGTGTAAACAGAGTGGACAGAATAATAGAAACAGTGTAAACAACAAACAGCAGCTATAAACTGCAGAGTGAACAGTAATCTGTATCTGCAGTTGGATGGTTGAGTTAAAGTCCTTCAGTCTGTTTAAACCTACACAACAACAGCAGCAGCAGCTCATTATATATTTACAGGTGGTCCTAATAAAGTGACACTGAAAGAAGAAAGCCCGTATTGTGTGTTGTGTGTGTGTTTGTTATCAGCCTGCTCAGTGCCATGTGTGTCTGCTGTGTTAACCTCTCGGACTGCTCAGCTTTGTCTTCAGCTCGTTCCAGCTCTCCTTCCACCATCACCAGTTTACGAGCCACCTGTCAAACACAGACATGTCATCTCACCTGCTGCTTCATCGACAAGAAGCATGCTAACAGGCTGCACGCTGTCATACGTGGTTCTAAGTGCATCATGTGTGCTTAGCATTTGTACTGTGTAGTATACGCAGCACTCAGTGTAGTACCTCCTCATATTTGCGGTCGGCCTCCTCAGCGATCTGTTTGGCCTCCCTCAGCTGAACCTCCAACAGCTCCATCTTCTCTTCATCCTTCAGAGCTCTGTTCTCGATCACCTTCATTCCTCTGACAGGGGAGACAGGTGAGGGGAGACGGACAGGGGTGAAGGCCCACAGAGTTGCTACAGCATTCAAAACACCTGGAGGATCAGCTGTTTGATCTTTTAATGAAGAACTAGATCCAGGTGTGCTGCCAGTGTCAAGTGTGCCGTAGCAGCAGTGGTACTAGTAGTAAGAGTACTAGTAGTATTAGCACTATAGTATTAGTACTGGTAGTACTGCATTGTTACCTCTCGCTCTCATCGGCAGCCTTCTCCACCTCGTCCAGTTTGTGCAGCGCTGTAGCGAGTCTCTCCTGAGCTCGGTCCAGATTCTCCTCACTGAGCTGAAGGCGCCGACCTAGAGCCGTGACCTCAGCCTCCGCCTGCAGACACAGAGCAGGGAGCAGAGCCCACAGCAGGTAAACAACAGTAATCAGCTGACAGCAGAGGGCTGAACTACAAAGTGAGATTAGTGTTAACAGGTATGTTGAGCCGAAAGTCAGAGTTTTCAGTTTCACTGAGGTGGCTCTCTTAACCTGCTAGATCTCCATGGTAACTTATGCTGCAGCTGAAGGAAGCACCTCCCTTTAACCAAATAGTTTCCTGAGGATTCTGCCTGAGTGATACAGATTCTCAGCTGAAGAAATATGCTTTGTCTGTAAACACGTTGATCTGTATGTTACTAAAACCTCTGAAAGAAGCCGTGTAGCTACAGTATCACACACTGTACACATCGTGTTGCCATGGAAACCTACATGTATTCCACTGGTGATGCAGAAATTGCAAAAACATGTTTTTATGTTTGGTCCTGATTTGTTGCTCAGTCGTTGAGCTGCTGGATACTGCAGCTGATCACCCAGATTATTTAGCTAAAAACTAAAGTGATTTCCTGCATTATGGGACAGTGTCAGACCTAAACGCATTTCAATACAATGTTTAATTCAGTTCAACTCTCAGAGCACTTCACATAGTAAGGTAAAGACCTTACGAATAAAAAAAAAGTTTGAAGTTTAACAGCTTTAATGTGCAGCTCTCAGTTATCAATAATCAGCAACATTGATCAGTAAAATAAATACATTAACACATGATTAACAGTTTTCTACCAGCATTTCTGTCCTGCATCATTTACAGTAGCAGTGCTTTTTACCGTCACAAATCGTTACATTCCTTGTAGCTCTACATTAAAACAACCTGTTAACTAAAGCAGCAACATATGATTGTTTCATTCTGTGCCAATGAGAATCTGAATCACTCAGAGAATCAGCAGGAAACGATTTGTTTAAAAAGGAGACACTTCTTCCAGCTGATTTAAATCTAAACTCTGAACACAACCGCTTCCTTTTATGTGAACATGCTCAGAGTTTGAAGCAGACAAACAACAAAAACAACAGCACCAATCAGCTAACAGGACTGTACTATGAAGTGAGATTAGTGGGTTAGCAAGGTACGTTGAGCCTAAAGTCAGACTTTTCAGTGTCATGAAGGTGTCTCTTTTTTTTTAACTTGCTAGATCTCCATAGTAACTTATGCTGTGGTGCTAACCTGGTAGGGACCAGGTTATGTTCAGAGTTTCGGATTTAAATTGGCTGGAAGAAGCGTCTCCCTTTAACCAAATCGTTTCCTGACTATTCTCTATGAGCAATACAGATTCTCAGCTGAGGGAATATGTTTTATCTGCAAACATGCTGATGCTGTGCATTACTAATATCACTGTATGAAGCCGTGTAGTTACAGTATAACACACACGCACAGAGTCTGAAGCAGAAAGCCTTAGATAACAAAGAAAGTTGATAAACACCTTTATGATACCTGTTATCTCTAACTGGAGCTTTAGTTTTTGCCAAGCTGGCTTACACAAAGAAAGCCAGGCTATGTCAAACTTGCTTCCTAGTATACCCCTCAGATCTGATCTTCAATATTAGAGGACTCTGATCAATATCTGCCCAGAAAAGCTCAATGAGGATGTCCCCTATCA